ACAAACTGCTCTTTTTCAAGGACAGCTGTGCCAGAGCTTGTGACTGACCCAAGGTCACATCAGCAGGTGCAAGTGGAGGAGTGGGGAATCAAACCCGGTTCTCCCAGATTAGAGTCCGCACACTTAACCACTACACCAAACTGGCTCTCATCCAAACTGGCTCTCATCCAAACTGGCTCTCATCCAAACTGGCTCTCATCCAAACTGAAAAAGGTCCTCCTCGGCCCCCTGTTCCCTGAGATCCCTGAATGGAAATACCAGGAACTGAACTCGGGCCCCTTCTGTATGTGAACAAGAATATACATGCCCACGGAGTGGTGGCTCTTCCTCTAAAGTATATACTTTGAGTATATACTTAGGAAAAGCTGCCTTACCCATCCAGTTGGGTATTGTCTAGTTTGACCACAATAGGATTGCGAAGTATAGCTTACCTCTGCAGCGGGGGACTCCCGGGTGGATCCTGGAGCGCACGCATAGTTTCCCCTTGGATGGTCGTGGCCCCGCCCCCAGCGTGCCCGGCGTCATAACATCACTTGAGTATATACTTAGAAAAAGCTGCCTTATCCATCCAGTTGGGTATTGTCTACTTTGACCACAGCAGGGTAGCCATCTTGGAGGTGTCCCAGCATTACATCTCCAGACTACAGAGATCCGTTCCACTGGAGGAAATGGCTGCTTTGGAGGGTGGAGTCTATGGCACTGTACCCAGTTGAAGTCTCCACCCTCCCCAGGCTCCAGGAATTTCCCAACCCCGAGCTGGCAACCCTAGACCACCAAGCAACTTTCCAGGGAAGTCTCTCACGCCTGCCGCTTCGTTTAACCGGAGATGCTGGGGACAGAAGCTGTGGCCTCGTATTCTGAAACCCCTCCCGTACACTGTTCAGGGTCGCTTGCCACTTTGAGGACAGTACATGAGTTGTGCAAGCAAATTCAAATTAGAAGAACTCAGGGCTATTTTGGGGCAGGAACGCACAGGAACGGAGTTCCGGCTGGCTCCCGAGTTGGCCACGCCCAGCAGGAACTTATTAGCATAATAGGCCACACCCAACAGCAGAAACTCATTAGGATTGGCTACATCAGGGGTGTGTGGCCTAACATGCAAAGGAGTTCTTGCTACAAAAAAAGGCCCTGGGTTTGGACAACAAACAAGGTCAACAGAATAAGAAGCAAAAGGTGGGTGTGGCTGGATGACCACACTTTTGGTAACATGGGGGTGCGGCCTAATGTGCCAATGAGCTGTGCTGTCAGGGGTGTGGCCTATTATGCTAATGAGTTCCTGCTGGGCTTTTTCTACAAAAAGAGCCCTGGAAGAACTGTGGTTAGAAGAACTCAGACTAGAAGAACTGGGTTGGGAAATACTTAGAGATTTGGGGGGCGGAGCCTGAAGAGGGCGGGGTTTGGGGAGAGGAGGGACTTCAATAGGGTACAATGCCCTAGAGCCCGCCCTCCAAAGTGGCCATTTTCTCCAGGGGAACTGATCTCTCGCCTGGAGATCAGTCGTCAACACCCCCTGGCAACCCTAGAGCCTACACACACACACACACACATTAATTTCAGGTCTCAGAGTGGCTCAGGAGAGTTCTGTCCATAAAATATCAGTTGTAGACTCCTGCAGCCTCAGTTTGCCTCGGCAGTGCCGGGAAGGAAAGAAGGGCGTGTTAACCCTTGAACCTCCGCTCAGTTTGGCATTCAAATCGGGGCTTTGTTGCTCCCATTTTTGAGGAGAAAAGACTTGTCCTTAGAAAGCATACGTTCCCCCCTTCCCTTTAACAAGAAGAGGAGGTTGGATTTATACCCCGCCCTTCACTCAGGGTCTCAGAGCGGCTTGCAAACTCCTTTCCCTTCCCCCTCCCCACAACGGACACCCTGGGAGGGAGGTGGGGCTGAGAGAGCTCGGACAGAAACGGCTCTTTTCCAAGGACAGGTCCTATCAGAACTGCGGCTTGCCCAAGGTCATCCAGCAGGTGCAAGTGGAGGAGTGGGGAATCAAACCCGGTTCTCCCAGATTAGAGTTCGCGCACTTAAGGCAGGCCATAGTTCTGGCACAGCTGTTCTTGAAAAAGAGCAGTCTCCGTCAGAGCTCTCTCGGCCCCACCTGCCTCCCAGGGTGTCTGTGGTGGGGAGGGGAAGGGAAAGGAGTTTGTAATAAGGAAACCCAGGATATACTCAACGCTATGGTGTAAGCAGGCAAGGCAGTGATAGCTCTGGGCTGGAAGGATAAGAGTAAATGGACAATAGATATCTGGCACACCTATTTGTTTGAATTTGTGCAGTCGGACATCATTGAGACGCTGCGCCAGAAGACCACATGGGAGGATAAAGCCGAAGAAATTAAAACTAGATGGAAGATCTATTTAAAGTGGATAACATCGGAAGGAAGACAGGACATTCAGTGGAAGATTCAGACTTTGTGCCAGTGGCTGTGAACGAAGGACCAACGAACAAGGGGGAGAGGGAGGGAGGGGGGGGAATATAATGATTTATGTAAAGCAAGGAGACAAAAGATGATGTAATACACAGAAAACTTACAAAAATAAATGTATTATATAAAAAAAAGGGAAAGGAGTTTGTAAGCCGCCCTGAGACACCTTTGGGTAGTGAAGGGTGGGGTATAAATCCAATCTCTTCTTCTTCTTCTTCTTTTGCCTCACAGGATATCTGTTGTGGGGAGGGGAAGGGAAAGGAGTTTGTGAGCTGCTCCGAGACTCCTTTGGGTAGTGAAGGGCGGGGTATAAATCCAATCTCTTCTTCTTCTTCTTTTACCTCACAGGGTGTCGGTTGTGGGGAGGGGGAGGGAAAGGAGGTTGTAAACTGCTCTGAGACTCCTTTGGGTAGTGAAGGGCGGGG